TGACAGTGGTGCCTGTGCTAACCTTCCTATGGTGTAGAAATATACCTAGTTGGACGAATCTTATTGTGGCTAGCTGGTCTAGTGGCTAACGCGACGGGCTGGAGTTTTGAGACTCTATGACCGCGGGTTCAATCCCGGCCGGGGTATGGTTTGTTTGCAATCGTGTCATTACGATTTTGTGAGTCATGCCTTATCACACTGTGTATGCCACTACAATTCTTAAATCTCTCGAACCAACCTTTGCTGGCCTTAAATTCACTCACATCACCACTAGTTGCAGGCATTTTTCTAATTAAATCCTCATGCAACTTCCTAGCCTTTTCACATATGATCGCTTGAGAGATGCTATTTCCTGCTATCTGTTTTCCGTTTATCCACACCAATAACAGCTTCTCAACATCTTCTATCACTTGCGATCTCTGTTTCGAAAACAAATTTGCACCTTTGGCAAGAACAGCTTCCTTGATTGCCGTTTTCTTGGCCACAATAGTAGCAATGGTTGATTGGGGTTTACTATACAACCTGGCCAGCTCGGAGACACGCACTCCACTTTCATACTTAGCAATGATCTCTTTCTTCATATCCATAGTAATTCTCACCCTTATTCCTGTAGGGTTGGCACTAGAAGCTTTCTTGGGGCCCATGGTCACTTATTTTGCAGGTGAAATCACTAAAAACGCTGTGATAATATGAAATGTTCCGATTGTATGCTTGGATGTGACCGTGGAGGCTGGCTTGTAAACACTGCCACCCATGGAACAAGTGAGGCTGGCTCAGGCCGCACATGGACGCGTCTCGGACGAATCGCATTAAGCGAGTTTTTTAGCGCTAGGCGAGGCAAAATTTTTGCATTAAAATGTATCGCTAGGCGGACTTAACGTTATGCAATGCCATCGTTAGGCTAGGGTCCACTGTGCAGTGTACTGTATAACTAAGCACAAAATTCTTTTTTTGTCAGTACAGATGCAGTCTCCAAGAAGAGTACAAATGATACAGTGATAAAATAGGCATAATTTACACAGCCCTTGATAAAAATAAATATCCAAGTGGCATATTTATTGACTTATGGAAGGCCTTTGACATGTTGGCCACAATAACAACTTCCTCTTAACCCTTAACCCTTTGACTGTCGCAACCCCAAATCCTGAAGTGTCTCCAGGTGTGGCAAAATATTTGAGAAAAAAAAAAATTCTTTGGAAATGATAGAGAATCTTTTCCCGATGATAATGACACCAAAAGTACGAAATTTGATGGAAAACTTATGGAATTACGCTCTCGTGAAGTTAGCAACCTCAGCGACATTCAAGTGTCAGCGATTTCACTCACTTTGAGCCCTATTTCCAGCCAATTGCATTGTAACAGTCCACCAAACTCAGCAATTTCTTTAGAACTCCATTTGTTCTATCGATTGAGTACAAGAGACTGCCCATTTACCGATTTCAGTTACCCAATAAAGTGGTCAGCAATTGGCAGTTTGGCCAATTTCATGCAAATTAATAAATATGTCAATTTCAAAATAGGGCCCAGAATGAACAATGCAGACTCCTGGCACAAAAATACCATTTTCTCTGTTCATCAGTCACGTCTCCAGGCCCCTGTTATAATACTCTTGCTTTCTATTTTGAATTTTTATTCACACAAAAAATAGAAGATTTACTGTTATGCAGACTACTGCAATATTGTAAAATTGTATGAATAATGTCAACCCATTTATGACTGCATATTGGAATGGCTAGACATTTATTGGACAATGGCGTCATATGTTTACTCTTGAACATGGGCAAAAATCGAACATTTCTCCCACTTTGAGCTCTGTTTCAAGATCCTTTTCATAGTAAAACCAATCAAAATCACTTCTATTTCTATAATATGTTTTCCATTCTATCAAATGAGACCAAGAAAACAAGAATACAACCATAAATACTATACGAAAATACACCTCAAAAATGGCGTTTTAATTAGCCCTTTCAAGGTTGGCAGGTCCTCTCCTAAACTTTTTCTCAGGGTCGGAAATTTTTTGAAAAAAAAAATTATATTTTCTGATGAAATGATAGAGAATCTTTTCCTGATCATAATGACCCCAAAAGTATGAAATTTGATGGAAAACTTACAGAATTATGCTCTTGCGAAGTTAGTGATCGTGACGATGTTTGCGCATCGGCGATTTCGCTCACTTTGAGCGCTATTTTCGGCCAATTCCAATGTACCAGTCGACAAAAATCATAACTAGTTTGCTAGAACTCCATTTTTTCTATCGAATGAGTACAAGAAACCACCCATTTAACAATTTCAACTATCCAATAAAGTGGGGCGAAATTGGCAATTTTGCCAATTTCACACAAATTTCAAAAGATGCCAATTTCCAAATAGGGTCCAGAATAAACAAGACAGACATTCCTGGCACTAAAATAACATTTCCTCTGTTCATTAGTCACGTCCCCAGGCCTCTGTTACATTTCTTTTGTTTTCCACTTTGAATTTTTATTCTCACGAAAAATAGAAGATTTACTGTTATGCAGACTACTGCATTAGCGTAGAAATGGTGTAGAAATGGTATAAATTATATCAGCACACTTGTGAAAGAGTATTAGACTCACCAGTTGACGTGTATTGGACGCATGGCATGATTTATTTACTTTTGAACTTTGGCAAAAATCAAACATTTCTGCTACTTTGAGCTCAATTTCAAAGTACTTTTCAGGGACAAGATAGGCCCACTCAAAAGTTCCTCGGGTCAGCTCACTGACAGTGATAAGGAAATGTGTAGAATTTTTAACACATACTTCCTCTCAGTTTTTACACAGGAGGATACCAGTGATATTCCAGTAATGATAAATTATGTAGAACAGGACGATAATAAACTGTGCATGATTAGGGTCACAAGTGACATGGTCCTTAGGCAAATAGATAAATTAAAACCTAACAAATCCCAGGCCCTGATGAACTGTATGCAAGGGTTCTAAAGGAATGTAAAGAGGAGCTTAGCATACCTTTGGCTAATCTTTTCAACATATCACTACAAACTGGCATGGTGCCAGATAAGTGGAAAATGGCAAATGTGATACCTATTTTCAAAACAGGTGACAGGTCCTTAGCTTCGAACTATAGACCAATAAGCCTAACCTCCATAGTGGGAAAATTTATGGAATCAATAATTGCCGAGGCAGTTCGTAGCCACCTTTAAAAGCATAAATTAATCAACGAATCTCAGCATGGTTTTACAAAGGGGCGTTCCTGCCTTACGAATTTATTAACTTTTTTCACTAAGGTATTTGAGGAGGTAGATCATGGTAATGAATATAATATTGTGTATATGGACTTCAGTAAAGCTTTTGACAGGGTCCCACATCAGAGACTATTAAGGAAAATTAAGGCGCAAGGAATAGGAGGAGAAATTTTTTCCTGGATAGAGGCATGGTTGACAAAAAGGCAGCAGAGAGTTTGCGTAAATTTGGGGGGAAATCAGTGTGGGGAAGCGTTTACGAGCGGTGTTCCACAGGGGTCAGTGTTGGGCCCCCTGCTGTTCACAATCTACATAAACGACATAGATGGGGGCATAAAGAGCGACATCGGCAAGTTTTGCCGATGACACAAGATAGGCCGTCGAATTCATTCTGACGAGGACATTCGAGTATTCCAGGAAGTTTTTGAATAGACTGATGCAGTGGTCGGAAAAGTGGCAGATGCAGTTTAATATAGACAAATGAATAGTTCTAAATGTTGGACAGGACAATAAACCATGCCACATATAAACTAAATTATGTAGATCTTAATAATTACGGATTGAAAAAAAGATTTAGGAGTTCTGGTTAGCAGTAATTCTGAAACCAAGACAACAGTGCATAAGTGTTCGCAATAAAGTAATGAATCCTTGGCTTCATATCAAGAAGGCATAAATAATAGGGAGTCCTCAGGTTGTTCTTCAACTCTATACATCCTTGGTTGGGCCCTCATTTAGATTATGCTGCCCCAGTTTTTGGTCACCGTATTACAGAATGGATATAAATTCTCGGGAAAAATGTACAAAGGAGGATGACAAAGTGATCCCATGTATCAGAAACTTTCCCTATGAGGATAGACTAAGGGCCCTGAATCTGCACTCTCTAGAAAGACGTAGAATTAGGGGGGATATGATTGAGGTGTTAAATGGAAGACAGGAATAAATAAAGGGGATGTAAATAGTGTGCTGAAAATTTCTAGCCTAGACAGGACTTGCAGCAATGGTTTTAAGTTGGAAAAAATTCAGATTCAGAAGGATATAGGAAAGTACGGGTTTTTGGTAATAGAGTTGTGGATGAGTGGAACAAACTCCCGAGGACAGTTATAGAGGCCAGAATGTTGTGTAGCTTTAAAAATAGGTTGGATAAATACATGAGTGGATGTGGGTGGGTGTGAGTTGGACCTGATAGCTTGTGCTACCAGGTCGGTTGCCGTGTTCCTCCCTTAAGTCAATGTGACCTGACCTGACTAGGTTGGGTGCTTTGGCTTAAGCCGGTAGGAGACTTGGACCTGCCTCGCATGGGCCAGTAGGCCTTCTGCAGTGTTCCTTCGTTCTTATGTTCTTAAATGGTGTTCCAATTTTCCAGAACATAATCTGCTGATTGTGAGAAGGTTTACTGTACCAGTATATTTATCTAGGCGTTCTAGTGGTACACTTTGTAATCATTATTTTACTACATGTAAACCACACAAAAACCAAATTCTGTAAACTCAGCATTGTAATCCTTATAGAGAATAAACTTTGAATTTGAATTTGAATTTAGGTAAATATACTGTATACATGTTGTACTGTAAATATACTGGTATAGGTATATACCAGTAGATATACTTTATATACACGTATATTGTATACTGTGCCAGTATATTTACCTATGGTAGAAATTCTTATAGGTGACTGCATTGTCTCCTTTGCTCTTCACAGGAAAATGATTTCTAGTTTGTAGGGAGAAAATTGAGTTCACTGCTATTAGTTACTTCATGATTTCTGTACATATTTGTAGATGTTGGGAGTGGCAACAGAAAATGCTGAATTTATTGATGACTGGAACTACATGGGCCGCATTGGGAGAGATGGACATTCTTGGACTCTTTCCTCTAGAGGTAAAAATATACTAATTTATTAATTTTTTTATGTGAAGTAAATCCATATAGGTTATAAATGTATTAATTCAAGGATTATGTGGAGTAAAATAAAGGTTGGATGTGAGAAGTGGGTTATTGTAAGCATTTGTGCACCTGGGGAAGAGAGAAGTATAGAGGAGAGAGAGAGAGAGAGATTTTGGGAAATGTTGAGTAATTGCATGGGGAGTTTTGAACCAAGTGTGAGAGCACTTGTGGTTGGGGATTTTAATGCTAAAGTGGGAAAAAATGTTGTGGAGGGAGTAGTAGGTAAATTTGGGGTGCCAGGGGTAAATGAAAGTGGGGAGCCTTTAATTGAGTTATGTGTAGAAAGAGGTTTGGTAATAAGTAATACATATTTTATGAAAAAGAGGATAAATAAATATACAAGGTATGATGTAGCATGTAAAGTAAAAGGACACAAGTGCAACTAATGTGACATTTTATTATGGCAACGTTTCGCTCTCCAGGAGCTTTATCAAGCCATTACAAACAATACATGGACACAGAGGGTATATAAAGGCTCAGAGTGAGGTGCAATACTAGTGAGGTACCATTTCGATGTTCACTAGTGGTAGTAGTAGTAGTAGTAGTGACAAAAGTAATACAATATGGTAGAGCAATTAATTGCTCTACCATATAATAATGCATTGTTGGTGCATTATAATGGCATGACTTACCTCTCCATTTGAGCTTTGTATATTGTGCTGTAGTTAGCTTTCACTGCATTTATTAAAACTAATTTACTTTTACCTTCAAATTTAAAAATCATTAAGAGAGAACTTTTTCTTGCATTATAGATAGGAAACATAATTTCGTTACTGTGCTACTACTATGGTTAGTATGATGAGCTTATTATACTGTATATTTTAAGTATGCATTATGTAATTGATTTCAAAAGTTGCAAAGCTGTTATTTTAATACAGAACTGCACAACACAGTTCATTAATCAGTTAATGTGAGCAAACAGTAAGAAGTGCACAGTAGTTAGATCCATAATGTGATCACAAGATATGCAATTTACTTAAAAATAAAAAATGTCCCTGATGACTCCACCAGCTGTAGTGTGTTGTGGTACTTCACAGTGCAATAATAATATTAATTGAAACACTAAATCCATTTTGATCTTGCAGTACTACACAGTGCAGGTCACTCAGCAGTTTGAGTAAAATAGAATCATCATTTTAAAAATAACTTTCGTTGAATAGTTTTATACATGACTATAACACAAGATACAGATCTCTTTTTGATATACCTCGTGTCCATATCACACTGTGTAAAAACATTGTGCACATAAAGGGCCCTAAAATATGGAATTCATTACCAGAAGATATTAAAGTAACCCAGTCTGAAAATCAATTTAAGACTCTTCTCAAAAGCCACTTAATCACCCTAGACTAAATGCTAAATACTCAGTACAGATATACTCACTTATGTACTCCCACATCATAACTTCAACAATTACTCTGAACCTTTTATCCATTGTTGACAGTAATATAATTGAATCATTGTTTTCACAAAAAGCATTTTTGAGTATATGAATATATCTTTTGTCTTATATAAATTAGAATCACTTATAATTAATAATCTACTGTACAACTATGATATAATCCTTAGTGTTAAGTAGTCTGTAAGCCAATAATGTTAAGTTGGCCCATAATGCCTAGGCATAATAGAGGCTCTCTTTGCATTGCAACCCATTATTGTAAATATAAAATCTCAATGTTTATTTGCAAAGACATTAAATAAATAAAAATAAATACGTTGTTTCATATACAGTATTACAGATGAGTATTCCATTTTCATAAACTTCATGCACTGTCACAAGTTCCAGAGAGGATATATGCAGTGACAGGTACATTTCTTTTAGCATTGTTGCAGTTAACTAAACAAAAAAATGAAACTGCCAATACACAGTCGCCATGGGGTGGGTGTTTCACATTGTAAATGCTATCTTCAGGAGTAGTGCATTTTGAAATTCAAATTCAAAATTTGTTTCCATGTGATACATTGTTTATACAGAAATGAGTGACACTTGATAATGCATGTAGAAAGCCCATGGTTATGCAGATCATTTCAGATATGGAACAGTAAAAATATCAGTGAAGATGTAGGTGTGTGTCCAGGAGGGCAGTCTAGTCTAAGATCAAAACTGATAATATTTTGAATTTGACATTGATATAATACAGATATAATACAGTGAAACATATAAGTGAACAGTATTTAGATAAGGCTAAAGAGGTCTTTGTGGCATTTATGGATTTGGAAAAGGCATATGACAGGGTGGATAGGGGGGCAATGTGGCAGATGTTGCAGGTGTATGGTGTGGGAGGTAGGTTACTGAAAGCAGTGAAGAGTTTTTACGAGGATAGTGAGGCTCAAGTTAGAGTATGTACGAAAGAGGGAAATTATTTCCCAGTAAAAGTAGGCCTTAGACAAGGATGTGTGATGTCACTGTGGTTGTTTAATATATTTATAGATGGGGTTGTAAGAGAAGTAAATGCGAGGGTCTTGGCAAGAGGCGTGGAGTTAAAAGATAAAGAATCACACATTAAAGTGGGAGTTGTCACAGTTGCTTTTTGCTGATGACACTGTGCTCTTGGAGATTCTGAAGAGAAGTTGCAGAGATTGGTGGATGAATTTTGGTAGGGTGTGCAAAAGAAGAAAATTGAAAGTGAATACAGGAAAGAGTAAGGTTATGAGGATAACAAAAAGATTAGGTAATGAAAGATTGGATATCAGATTGGGAGGGAGAGAGTATGGAGGAGGTGAATGTATTCAGATATTTGGGAGTGGACGTGTCAGCGGATGGGTCCATGAAAGATGAGGTGAATCATAAATTGATGAGGGAAAAGGGTGAGTGGTGCACTTAGGGTCTGTGGAGACAAAGAACTTTGTCCTTGGAGGCAAAGAGGGGAATGTATGAGAGTAAGTTTTACCAACGCTCTTATTGGGTGTGAAGCATGGGTGATGAATGTTGCAGCGAGGAGAAGGCTGGAGGCAGTGGAGATGTCATGTCTGAGAGCAATGTGTGGTGTGAATATAATGCAGAGAATTCGTAGTTTGGAAGTTAGGAGGAGGTGCGGGATTACCAAAACTGTGTCCAGAGGGCTGAGGAAGGGTTGTTGAGGTGGTTCGGACATGTGGAGAGAATGGAGCGAAACAGAATAACTTCAAGAGTGTATCAGTCTGTAGTGGAAGGAAGGCGGGGTAGGGGTCGGCCTAGGAAAGGTTGGAGGGAGGGGGTAAAGGAGGTTTTGTGTGCGAGGGGCTTGGACTTCCAGCAGGCATGCGTGAGCATGTTTGATAGGAGTGAATGGAGACAAATGGTTTTTTAATACTTGACATGTTGTTGGAGTGTGAGCAAAGTAACATTTATGAAGGGATTCAGGGAAACCGGCAGGCCGGACTTGAGTCCTGGAGATGGGAAGTACAGTGTCTGCACTCTAAAGGAGGGGTGTTAATGTTGCAGTTTAAAAAACTGTAGTGTAAAGCACCCTTCTGGCAAGACAGTGATGGAGTGAATGATGGTGAAAGTTTTTCTTTTTCGGGCCACCCTGCCTTGGTGGGAATCGGCCAGTGTGATAATAAAAAATATAATACAGATACGGTGGTACCTCGAATTTCGGCCTTAATTCTTTCCCCAGAAGGCTTTTTGAGTGCTGTTACAAATTTGGAATTTGTTCCCATAAGGAATAATGTAAATTAGATTAGTCCGTTTCAGCCCCAAAAATACATTTAAAAAAATAAACAACATAATTTTTTGAGTGGGAGCTGTTCGAAATTTTGGTACCACTGTATTTGAGCAATATAAAGCTCAGAAGAAAGCCACTAGTTATGCAAATGCATTTCAGGAAAACTAATCATAAGACGTACATTCTTCTTGTTAATTAGGATTTAGGCAAGTTACAGGTAGGAAGGGCATCTGTCTGGCAATCAGCAGACGGAGGATCAAGCCTCCACCACATCTTGCACTGAGTAACCTTGTGGGTTTGAGCTTAACATGAATTATTATTATTTTAACCAGACCTTTGTATATAAGTCAGTCAGCTTGGTAATTCATTACAATCATAAGTACAGCAAGACAGGTTGCAAATGAAGATTGGTCAATTACAAATTAATTGCATTGAAACAGCATCAGTTGACTGACATTCTTTTTATGGAGTGGTTCAGTTGAGGTGGTGAATTAAAGGCATGGAATTTCCCGACAGTTAATGGATGTAACATTTATGTGAGATTTAGTAGGTGCTTTTAACAATATTATTCTTAACAAGTAGCGTATATCACCAGTGTTTTAAACCGCACCTTACCATATTTTTTTTGATTGTACCATTAAGAATGAAGGAGCACTGCATGGACCTGCTAACTCACACTGGGCAGCTACTTAATTCCAACCCTTCTTATTTATAAGCTTGTCCATGTATTTAGCTTCAGTAGCTATCTGGTAGGGAGTATATCATTATTATTATATACTGTACTGACAGTTTTATAATAGTGGAATAGAATTCTTCCTCGGAAAGTCATTACGTGTTTTAAAGTGGTGACTAAAATGCCAGGAGCAAGGGGCTAGTAACCCTTCTCCTGTATAAATTACTAAATTTAAAGAGAGAAACTTTTGTTTTCTTTTTTGGCCACCCTGCCTTGTGGGATACAGCCGGTTTGTTGAAAAAAGAATTATAAAATAGATGTGTTAAGCCTAGATCATCTAGGCCGGGGATTATAAAACATTTCCTCCATCATTAAACCCCCCTTGCCTTGATGTATTTCCACTTACTCCCTTACTTCCATACAAAAACTTGTCGCCGTCATAAAGGGACAGAAAAACCAGGGGTCAGAAAAGATAAATTATTCATTTTTCAGGTACATCAACTATTTACCCCTTTGCCATGTAATTTTTTACCCCAATGGGTAAATTTACCCGGGTTGCAAATCCTGGCTGTGATGGATATGTAGGTCATCAGCAGCAACAGCCAGGTTGACCAGGCAACTAGCAGACAAGCCTTGCCCAGGGCCAGGTTTTCAGGAGTACAAAAACTCTTGAAAACCATCAAAGTCACAAATTTTATTGTGACTTTTTCCATACTGATAAATATTTTAATAAGACACAGTACACAGTTTATGGCTTTTTATTGGAAATAACATTGGGTTACTTTAAGAATTGGCTGGACAAATATTTCAGTGGGAGGGGTTGGGTTTGATAAGAACTTGGCAGGCATGGGCTGGTGGGCCTGCTGCAGCCTTCCTCTGTTTTGTGCAGGATGAGCACTATCAGGTCAGTGGGAAGAACCCCAATATTTTTTTTTTTTTTTTTTATTATCACACCGGCCGATTCCCACCAAGGCAGGGTGGCCCGAAAAAGAAAAACTTTCACCATCATTCACTCCATCACTGTCTTGCCAGAAGGGTGCTTTACACTACAGTTTTTAAACTGCAACATTAACACCCCTCCTTCAGAGTGCAGGCACTGTACTTCCCATCTCCAGGACTCAAGTCCGGCCTGCCGGTTTCCCTGAATCCCTTCATAAATGTTACTTTGCTCACACTCCAACAGCACGTCAAGTATTAAAAACCATTTGTCTCCATACACTCCTATCAAACACGCTCACGCATGCCTGCTGGAAGTCCAAGCCCCTCGCACACAAAACCTCCTTTACCCCCTCCCTCCAACCTTCCTAGGCGACCCCTACCCCGCCTTCCTTCCACTACAGACTGATACACTCTTGAAGTCATTCTGTTTCGCTCCATTCTCTCTACATGTCCGAACCACCTCAACAACCCTTCCTCAGCCCTCTGGACAACAGTTTTGGTAATCCCGCACCTCCTCCTAACTTCCAAACTACGAATTCTCTGCATTATATTCCACACCACACATTGCCCTCAGACATGACATCTCCACTGCCTCCAGCCTTCTCCTCGCTTGCAACATTCATCACCCACGCTTCACACCCATATAAGAGCGTTGGTAAAACTATACTCTCATACATTCCCCTCTTTGCCTCCAAGGACAAAGTTCTTTGTCTCCACAGACTCCTAAGTGCACCACTCACTCTTTTTCCCTCATCAATTCTATGATTCACCTCATCTTTCATAGACCCATCCGCTGACACGTCCACTCCCAAATATCTGAATACGTTCACCTCCTCCATACTCTCTCCCTCCAATCTGATATTCAATCTTCAATATATTATACGTATATGCCACTGCTGTGGGAAAGTGGGAGTAACTTAATGTTACTTCAATAAAATGACAAACTGCATATTGTCATATTTAAATATTTGTCAGTATGGAAAAGTCAGGAGGAGAATTAGATGTAGGATGATTAACACAGTAAGGCTCAGTATTAACTGAGCTTTATATCACATATACAGTGCTAGTCTGACTTCACTCTGTACAATAGTAATTTTGTAAGAGGTGGATTACTATTAAATATCCCTTGGTTTTCTTTTCTTTGGAGGTTAAGGCTGGATTTCTACAGCTTAAGCTAAGCATTTTTTTTTTCTGTATTCCTTATCCTTTTTACTGACCAAATTGGCATCATTCTAAAACAACAATATAGGTGTTTCAGCTGCACTGCTAGGGATGATTGTGCCAAGCATGTTCTTATTCTCATTTATGGTATCTCTGGCTGTTTTTAATATGTTCTAACATGTCTGAACAATGCATTTTTCCAATTCTGTAGCAATTAGTATGACAGTTTATATAAAAATTTGGCAGATTATGTAGAACTTTAACATCTCAATAGTAATGTGAACCTTCCTTTGAGCAAAACACACCAGCACTAAAGGTTTAATGCCAACTAGAAGACAGGGTGTAGCATAACATATTAAGGTCCTGGTGTCAAAGATCAAGGTCACAGCACAGTATATCATTACAGCACCATCCAAAACATTAATTTGCCAATTTTTAAATAAATGAACAGTGGTACCTCTGTATTATATGCACTTGTTATCTTCTCCATGTTTTATTAGTATTTTATTTTCAGAGCAGGTATATTATTAGGCATTATGGAACTCTTGTTTGAAATGTCCTTGGGTACAGTGCAAAACTGATTTTCCTTATATTAATCTTCATAACAATATTCTGAATCTTTGTTTCATCCATATATCCTTTGACCTTCCATTTCACCAAATTGCCACCATCAGACTCATTTCATTTGCTTAATATTTTGTCTTTGGCAGGGTCCCTGTACCACCACAATTATGCTGTTGTTCATGAAGACTATCGGTTTTTTCCCAAGAGACCTTGTGACAGTCCACCTTGATCTCATCAAGAGAACTCTTATGTTTGCTATCAACAATAAAGTTATTGGTATGTACTCCTGTATACAAATTTAAAAGTTCTATGTTTCCACTGACAAAGCTTGTTAATTATTCTACACTCTAATCAGATTTATTTTTTTACTGTGTGCATCAACTTTACTTTTATTCATAAAATATTAATTAACATAATACAGTAAATCCTCTATATAATGAACTAATAGGGGAAATGTCTAAGTGTTGGTTAAATCAGAATGTTAAAAAATAATAAAAAAATGCACTAAAGTACTCTATTATACACCTAGTCATCCTTCAGTGTGCAGGCACTGCAGTACCTCCCACCTCCAGAAGTCAAATCTTGTTTACCGGTTTCCCCAAAATATTATAAATACAGCCCTCCTCACTTGGCGACGTACTCATTTACCGACGCCTGGGACTTACGAGGGGCTCTCTGACCAGTATTCATACCTAAATAATGTATATTACAGGTGATTTCCTCTATTCTCTTTATTTCAATATACAGTACACTACTGTAAAACATTAAAAATATACCAGAAATAATATAAATGGTGCAAAGGTGACATTAAAACAATATCAAAGGTGGTTAATACAAACTCACTACCATTATAGTATGCTCCTCACTTAGCGACGAATTCGTTTAATGACGTAGTCTCAGAAATGGAACTCTGTTGTTAAATGAGGAGAAGCTGTATTACTGTGCTTACACCACAGTAAAACATAATTTGAATCTACATATGTAAACATTAATGAATGCCATAAAACAACTAGCTTAATTAAAAGCAGTTTTATAGAGCTTCTTGGGTGTATGTTGGTGTTGTACACTGTTCTGTTTTATTATGTGCAGTAGACCCTCAGTTATTGGACATTCTGTTTATCGCCCAACTCGGTTATCGGCCGTTTTTTTCGGCTTCCGATTATTGGCCGTTATTTCACTTATCGGCCGTATTGGACGCGTCCACCGCCAGCCACTCGCGCGTTCCTGAGTCAGTGTGGCTGTGTCTCTGAGCAAGTGAGGAAACTTCTGCTCATTCATCCAAACATTTCGCTATAATCCATTGTTTTTGGTGGTTATTGATTAAGTGCAACTGCGAAATAAGTAACCATAGCCCCAAAGAAAGTTCCAAGTAAAGTTTCTTTGGTAAAGAAAGTGAGAAACACGATAGAATTCAAGGCAGGCAGGCATAAAGGCATGGAGTGTAGCAGGCATTCAGGGAGTGTAGCAGGAAGGCAGGGAGTATAGCAGGTAAGGAGGGAGTGTAGCAGAGAGGCAGGGAGTGTAGCAGGCAGGCATAGAGGCAAGGAGCATAGCAGGCATACAGGGAGTGTAGCAGGAAGGCAAGGAGTGTAGCAGGCATGCAGGGAGTGTAGCAGGAAGGCAGGGAGTGTAGCAATGTTTATATGCTATGCATGTTTAATAGTAATCCCTCTTGGGCACAATAAATGTCTTATTTTAGGTTAATATAGACATTTTCATTAATCCATCTATGATATTTTCTTCAAAATTATATAAGAAACACGTTACAGAGCATATAAACATAGCATATAAACATGCGAAACTCAGTAAACATGGTAATAATATGGCTGTGTAGTGTAGTGTACTGTACCTACATATACCGCTGCCTACACTGACTTCCTACAAATAAATACTACTCACCTCTCATCCTACATTAAGACTACAAATATTTTAAGTTAAGTACAGTGGAACCCTGAGTTTCATACGCCCTGATTATTGTACGCTTTGAGTTTAGAACCGTTTTTTCAGGTAAATTTTGTCCTGAGTTTCGCACTGTGTCCCATGTTTTGTCCTGCTGTCTGCCTGCCTGCCGCCTCCCCGCGCAGCTGTTGTGAGTCAGTCTCACTTTGTTTCTCCTCGAGTGAACATTACATTATATACTAGGCATTTAAAGTGGCTCCTTTACCCCCTCCCTCCAACCCTTCATAGGCCGACCCCTACCCAGCCTTCCCTCCACTACAGATTTATACACTCTCGAAGTCATTCTGTTTTGTTCCATTCTCTCTACATGTCCGAACCACCTCAACAACCCCTCCTCAGCCCTCTGGATAATAGTTTTGGTAATCCCACACCTTCTCCTAATTTCTGAACTATGAATTCTCTGCATTATATTCACACCACACATTGCCCTCAGACATGACATCTCCACTGCCTCCAGCCTTCTCCTCATTGCAACATTTATCACCCATGCTTCATACCAATTTAAGAGTGTTGGTACAACTATACTCTCATACATTCCCCTTTTTGCTTCCACGGACAAAGTTCTTTGTTTCCACAGACTCCTAAGTGCACCACTCACCTTTTTCCCCTCATCAATTCTGTGATTCACCTCATCCTTCATAGACCCATCTGCTGACATCTCCACTCCTAAATATCTGAATACATTCACCTCCTCCATACTCTCTCCCTCCAATCTGATATCCAGTCTTTCGTCACCTAATCTTTTTGTTATCCTCATAACCTTACTCTTTCCTATATTCACTTTTGATTTTCTTCTTTTACATACCCTACCAAATTTATCCACCAACCTCTGCAACTTCTCTTCAGAATCTCTCAAAAGCATTAAGTGTGTAGCATTAAGTGTGTAGCATTAAGAGTGTAGGATTAAGAGTGTAGCATTAAGAGTGTAGCATTAAGAGTGTAGCATTAAGAGTGTAGCATTAAGAGTGTAGCATTAAGAGTGTAGCATTAAGAGTGTAGCATTAAGAGTTGTAGCATTAAGAGTGTAGCATTAAGAGTGTAGCATTAAGAGTGTAGCATTAAGTGTGTAGCATTAAGAGTGTAGCATTAAGAGTGTAGCATTAAGAGTGTAGCATTAAGTGTGTAGCATTAAGAGTGTAGCATAAGAGTGTAGCATTAAGAGTGTAGCATTAAGAGTGTAGCATTAAGAGTGTAGCATTAAGAGTGTAGCATTAAGAGTGTAGCATTAAGTGTGTAGCATTAAGAGTGTAGCATTAAGAGTGTAGCATTAAGAGTGTAGCATTAAGAGTGTAGCATTAAGAGTGTAGCATTAAGTGTGTAGCATTAAGAGTGTAGCATTAAGAGTGTAGCATTAAGAGTGTAGCATTAAGAGTGTAGCGATTAAGCGATAGAAAAAGGAAACGAAATAAACTCCTGACAGCATAAGCCACTCTGCCTATCTTCTGCAAGGTGTGTAAATGGTGTACATACACCATTTCATTTGTACATTATGTTTTTTTTATGAAAGAAGTGATCTAATGCAGTTTGCCTCACAAACTCTATTTTCTTTTGTACTAACATGTCTGAAGGAGGAAAGAATGGGAAGATATTTTGATAGCTGGAGCGAGAATGCCCGCTACCACTGTCCTCCCCCGCCACCACATACGTAATGACGTACATATTTTATTCATTCTAGAGTGTATATCAGGTTTTTATGTTATATTGTTTATTATGTCATATTAGATGAATTGTGATAATAGCATCATATTGAAGTACTAGTTTGTCATGCTCCTGATAGGCAGGAGTGGATTAATTGGATTTACATTATTTCTTATGGGAAATATTGCTTTGACTTTAGGACATTTCAACTTGAGTCCTAGCTCCTGGAACAGATTAAGGGCAAAACTTGGGATTCCAATGTAATGAATGTACTCATTTGTTTTCTGTATGTAAAACTATAGTTAATCTTTAAAAAATTTATTTTTTGCTAATATTTTTGGATGTCTGAAATGGATTGATTGGATTTACATTAATTCTTATGTGGAAATATTATTTCAGTTTTCGGTATTTTCTGTTTTAGGCTGACCTTCTGGAACAGATTACAGCCGATAACCAAGGGTCCACTGTACTTTGTAAAAAAGTAATTAATTACCTGCACTAAACTTAGTTGTGAGACTGGACAGCAACTGAACAAACGATGGTGAATGCGTTTTCTTCTTTAGGTCACACTGCCTTGGTGGGAAATGGCTGTTGAGGAAAAAAAAGTCTGCAAAACACTCAGAAATATGTGTCCGCTATAAAATATAGAACTACTGAAAATTATCCGAATTTCACAAAAATAACTTTCAGCAGAAGTTTCACTTTAGCAGAGGCTTACCTGTGTGTTGTTTTACATGCTTACTCTCATTCTGTTTTACATGCTTACTCTCATTCTGTTTTAAAATGCTTACTATCATTCTGTTTTACATGCTTACTCTCATTCTGTTTTACATGCTTACTATCATTCTGTTTTACATGCTTACTCTCATTCTGTTTTACATGCTTACTATCATTCTGTTTTATGTGCTTACTCTCATTCTGTTTTACATGCTTACTATCATTCTGTTTTACATGCTTACTATCATTCTGTTTTACATGCTTACTCTCATTCTGTTTTACATGCTTACTCTCATTCTGTTTTATGTGCTTACTCTCATTCTGTTTTACATGCTTACTCTCATTCTGTTTTACATGCTTACTATCATTCTGTTTTACATGCTTACTCTCATTCTGTTTTACATGCTTACTATCATTCTGTTTTACATGCTTACTCTCATTCTGTTTTACATGCTTACTATCATTCTGTTTTACATGCTTACTCTCATCTGTTTTACATGCTTACTCTCATTCTGTTTTACATGCTTACTATCATTCTGTTTTACATGCTTACTCTCATTCTGTTTTACATGCTTACTATCATTCTGTTTTACATGCTTACTATCATCTGTTTTACATGCTTACTATCATTTGTTTTACATGCTTACTCTCATTCTGTTTTACGTGCTTACTCTCATTCTGTTTTACATGCTTACTCTCATTCTGTTTTTACATGCTTACTATCATTCTGTTTTACATGCTTACTCTCATTCTGTTTTACATGCTTACTCTCATTCTGTTTTACGTGCTTACTCTCATTCTGTTTTACATGCTTACTATCATTCTGTTTTACATGCTTACTCTCATTCTGTTTTACATGCTTACTCTCTTTTCTGTTTTACGTGCTTACTCTCATTCTGTTTTACATGCTTACTATCATTCTGTTTTATGTGCTTACTATCATTCTGTTTTACATGCTTACTATCATTCTGTTTTATGTGCTTACTCTCATTCTGTTTTACGTGCTTACTCTCATTCTGTTTTACATGCTTACTATCATTCTGTTTTACATGCTTACTCTCATTCTGTTTTACATGCTTACTCTCATTCTGTTTTACATGCTTACTATCATTCTGTTTTACATGCTTACTCTCATTCTGTTTTACATGCTTACTCTCATTCTGTTTTACGTGCTTACTCTCATTCTGTTTTACATGCTTACTATCATTCTGTTTTATGTGCTTACTATCATTCTGTTTTATGTGCTTACTATCATTCTGTTTTACATGCTTACTCTCATTCTGTTTTACATGCTTACTATCATTCTGTTTTACGTGCTTACTATCATTCTGTTTTACATGCTTACTATCATTCTGTTTTATGTGCTTACTATCATTCTGTTTTACGTGCTTACTATCATTCTGTTTTACGTGCTTACTCTCATTCTGTTTTACATGCTTACTATCATTCTGTTTTACGTGCTTACTATCATTCTGTTTTACGTGCTTACTATCATTCTGTTTTACATGCTTACTATCATTCTGTTTTACGTGCTTACTATCATTCTGTTTTACGTGCTTACTATCATTCTGTTTTACGTGCTTACTCTCATTCTGTTTTACATGCTTACTATCATTCTGTTTTATGTGCTTACTCTCATTCTGTTTTACATGCTTACTATCATTCTGTTTTACATGCTTACTATCATTCTGTTTTACATGCTTACTCTCATTCTGTTTTACATGCTTACTATCATTCTGTTTTACATGCTTACTATCATTCTGTTTTATGTGCTTACTCTCATTCTGTTTTACGTGCTTACTCTCATTCTGTTTTACATGCTTACTATCATTCTGTTTTACATGCTTACTATCATTCTGTTTTATGTGCTTACTCTCATTCTGTTTTACGTGCTTACTCTCATTCTGTTTTACATGCTTACTATCATTCTGTTTTATGTGCTTACTCTCATTCTGTTTTACGTGCTTACTCTCATTCTGTTTTACATGCTTACTTTTCTTTTCTGTTTTATGTGCTTACTCTCATTCTGTTTTACGTGCTTACTCTCATTCTGTTTTACATGCTTACTATCATTCTGTTTTACATGCTTACTCTCATTCTGTTTTACATGCTTACTATCATTCTGTTTTATGTGCTTACTATCATTCTGTTTTACATGCTTACTATCATTCTGTTTTATGTGCTTACTATCATTCTGTTTTACGTGCTTACTATCATTCTGTTTTATGTGCTTACTATCATTCTGTTTTACGTGCTTACTATCATTCTGTTTTACGTGCTTACTATCATTCTGTTTTATGTGCTTACTATCATTCTGTTTTACGTGCTTACTATCATTCTGTTTTACGTGCTTACTATCATTCTGTTTTACATGCTTACTATCATTCTGTTTTACGTGCTTACTCTCATTCTGTTTTACATGCTTACTATCATTCTGTTTTACATGCTTACTCTCATTCTGTTTTACATGCTTACTCTCATTCTGTTTTACATGCTTACTCTCATTCTGTTTTACATGCTTACTCTCATTCTGTTTTACATGCTTACTCTCATTCTGTTTTACATGCTTACTATCATTTCTGTTTTACATGCTTACTATCATTCTGTTTTACTGCTTACTATCATTCTGTTTTACATGCTTACTATCATTCTGTTTTACATGCTTACTCTCATTCTGTTTTACATGCTTACTCTCATTCGGGTTTTACTTTGCTTACTATCATTCTGTTTTACATGCTTACTCTCATTCTGTTTTATGTGCTTACTATCATTCTGTTTTACATGCTTACTCTCATTCTGTTTTATGTGCTTACTATCATTCTGTTTTACGTGCTTACTCTCATTCTGTTTTACATGCTTACTATCATTCTGTTTTACATGCTTACTATCATTCTGTTTTACATGCTTACTCTCATTCTGTTTTACATGCTTACTCTCATTCTGTTTTACATGCTTACTCTCATTCTGTTTTACATGCTTACTCTCATTCTGTTTTTGAACATCACTAGTATCACTGTGTCTGTTAATTTTTCTGATTAATAATGCAGTAATAATAATAATAATAAATATATCTTCTAAAACCCCATTTTTTTCTCATATACTGGTATGTAGATCACTGCCTCTTGTTATAGTTTTGTAAATTTCTAGCATGTCTGTTTATTAATTTTTATCTTCAAAATATTCAGCCCCATCTTCAGTAAATCATTAATGTATTCTTACCACTTCATTAATGTATTTTCCAGGTTTGCAATATCAAAATCTACCACATGGTGTTGATCTTTATCCTGTGGTGGGTGTGGCTGGACGGTGTGTATTAAGGCTAGTTTCTGCATACATGTGTGAGTCCTCACTGCACTTGATGTCTCTGGTGACACACATAATTGCTCGTTGCAAGGCCAGAGCACCAAAGATACAAAGTAGAGTTCCTAAGTTTCCTGATGGGACTTGTTTGCAGTGGTGTGGCACAGTATCTATTGATAAGTAAGTATAGTATTGGTGGAGATTAAAGTTAGAGTATAGATTACATATTATGTGTTATCACTCACAGGTGGTTAACACACTGGCCTGTGAGTTTTAGAACTCCCTTGCCATGGGTTCAAACCTCACCTGGTCCCTGATTTTTGTATTATTAATCAGATGTGCTCAAACAGGTTTTTATTGATTTGTTTATAGTTTTTCTGAAATATATGGTAAGGGAAAAAACCAGTTTATTAAAGCTTGAATACTACCTGTATAATTGTGGGAGTGCTGCATTGTAAACAATATAGAATTTTTTAAGAATATGCTAAAATTCCAAACCTCATTATCACACCCAGGTTGCTGCTCCCACCTGGACTTATGAAGACTTGCAAAGTGCTCTACCCATGGTTCTTCGCAGATCACCAAATGAAACCTTATACTCGGGCAGAACAGAGAAGACGGTGTAATAAACACGAGATGCCGAAAGTTATTCGTTTTGCAGACTCAAAAACAAATGAATCGTCAACTGAGCGACGAGACATGACCAAACGTATTGTGAAAAGTCGAAAGTGTCATTGTGGCAACATTAATAAGGATAATAGTTGTTCCCATGAAAGTGTGCTAAGATTCTTCAGAAAGAGAGACATATGTTATTTGAGCAGTAGTGATGATGAAATATTTCCTCGTATTACTAAAAAGAATAAGAAGAGGCTACGTAGATGAGTAGTTATCCTTCTTACAACGGGATATTCATTGTGTATAATGGTTGTGATAAGTTTTGCATTGTTGCTCTACTCTACATGGCACATGTGCCCTTATGGATTTAACACTTCCAGTGATTATAATGATGACAGTTTCTTCTTATATTAAGTAAGGAAAAAGAATGCTTGAAAAGGATCAGCATTGAGTATCTATAGGTAGGACAGTATTGGAATTTAAAAAAGACTAGGAAAAAGTAGACAAAGAGTGAGATAAAGACTGGGAAAAATATCTTTGTAATTGAGGATATGCATCCTCGCCATTAATTGCCTGTGTGTGTTGCTACACACACAACAAGAAAACATTCATGGTTGAAGCTAATTTCATATAGTATATGGTTTTTATTTGAGATCTTTAATGGGTATGTAAGTCAGCTGACCTTTTATGACAGTACTTGAAGCAGTTGTAATTTTACTGATATAGTTATTTTTATCAAATATTTTCATATTTTTTCTATTGTGTGAAATATCTCTTGTGTACATTTTATCCTTGTTTCTAAAAGTGATATTGTTAGTTAATATCAACAAGTTGAAATGTAACTTATGACTACAAAACATGTAAGTATTGGTAATATGTTAATTTTTTATAACACACTGGCTGTCTCTTTCCTAGGTAGGGTGAACTGAAAAAGAAAAAAACATTTTTCACTATCACTGTCTTGCCAGAGGCATGCAATACTACACTTAAGATATCCCTCCAAACTGCAAATATCCCCACCACCTCCTTCATATACATACACATTAACAATATTGCGACTTACGTTGTTATTGATCAATACCACTTGTTCGTGGGCACAATAATATATATACACATGTTCATATACTTTCTTCTTTCTTTCAACACACCGGCCATATCCCACCGAGGCGGGGTGGCCCAAAAGGAAAAACAAAAGTTTCTCCTTTTACATTTAGTAATATATACAGGAGAAGGGGTTACTAGCCCCTTGCTCCCGCCATTTTAGTTGCCTCTTACAACACGCATGGCTTACGGAGGAAGATTTCTGTTCCACTTCCCCATGGAGATAAGAGGAAATAAACAAGAACAAGAACTAGAAAGAAAATAGAAGAAAACCCAGAGGGGTGTGTATATATATATGCTTGTACATGTATGTGTAGTGTGACCTAAGTGTAAGTAGAAGTAGCAAGATGTACCTGAAATCTTGCAAGTGTAAAACAATTACAGGCTTCCGTTTTACGCTCACTTGGCAGGATGGTAGTACCTCCCTGGGCGGTTGCTGTCTACCAACCTACTACCTAGGATATGTATGTTCTTTCTTTCTTTCAACACACCGGCCGTATCCCACCGAGGCGGGGTGGCCCAAAAGGAAAAACGAAAGTTTATCCTTTTACATTTAGTAATATATACAGGAGAAGAGGTTACTAGCTCCTTGCTCCCGGCATTTTAGTCGCCTCTTACAACACGCATGGCTTACGGAGGAAGAATTCTGTTCCACTTCCCCATGGAGGTAAGAGGAAATAAACAAGAACAAGAACTAGAAAGAAAATAGAAGAAAACCCAAAGGGGTGTGTATATATATGCTTGTACATGTATGTGTAGTGTGACCTAAGTGTAAGTAGAAGTAGCAAGACATACCTGAAATCTTGCATGTGTATGAGACAGATAAAAAAAAGACACCAGCAATCTTACCATCGTGTAAAACAATTACAGGCTTCAGTTTTACACTCACTTGGCAGGACGGTAGTACCTCCCTGGGCGGTTGCTGTCTACCAACCTACTACCTATATATATATATATATATATATATATATGTTCTCCATGGGGAAGTGGAACAGAATTCTTCCTCCGTAAGCTATGCGTGTTGTAAGAGGCGACTAAAATGCCAGGAGCAAGGGGCTAGTAACCCCTTCTCCTGTATATATTACTAAATATGAAAGGAGAAACTTTTGTTTTTCCTTTTGGGCCACCCCACCTCGGTGGGATACGGCTGGTGTGTTGAAAGAAAGAATATATATGTCTAGGTAGTAGGTTGGTAGACAGCAACCGCCCAGGGAGGTACTACCGTCCTGCCAAGTGAGTGTAAAACGAAAGCCTGTAATTGTTTTACATGATGGTAGGATTGCTGGTGTCCTTTTTTCTGTCTCATGAACATGCAAGATTTCAGGTATGTCTTGCTACTTCTACTTACACTTAGGTCACACTACACATACATGTACAAGCATATGTATACACACCCCTCTGGGTTTTCTTCTATTTTCTTACTAGCTCTTGTTCTTGTTTATTTCCTCTTATCTCCATGGGGAAGTGGAACAGAATTCTTCCTCCGTAAGCTATGCGTGTTGTAAGAGGCGACTAAAATGCCAGGAGCAAGGGGCTAGTAACCCCTTCTCCTGTATATATTACTAAATATGAAAGGAGAAACTTTTGTTTTTCCTTTTGGGCCACCCCACCTCGGTGGGATACGGCTGGTGTGTTGAAAGAAAGAAAGATATATATATGTATATATATATATACGTATATGCATATTTAACCTGAGTAAAATTTTAATTTCACTTTACAGTTACCTGAAGTTATCTTATATACAATACTATTACCTACACATTCCTGTAGGTATAAGTTAAATTTCAACTTGTTAATAGCAGACAACAGTAATACAGTACTTTGAAAATGAGAATATGTTGCTTGTACTATACAGAAATCTTCAGGGGTATGTCTAGTCATTATTGATGGAGGGATAATTACCCTTGACTAGCACAGTACTAGTTATGATATTTTACCTTGTCATCACATTTAATGAGCCTAAATATAGTTCCTAATAAAAAAAAGTAAGTTAGAATACAGAGTGTATATTTGCTATTTGTAATCAAATACTCATACATGTATAACTTATGTCTTTCGTGAATTTAATATATTTTTGAAACATAATGGGCTTTGAATTTTAAGGGTTTGAGCATCCAGGAGGCTTGTATGTGTTGTAGATGGGAATGAATGTAGACTACTGGCTTTTAATGGACATGTTGGAGTGTTAGCAAGGTAATATATAAAATAATTTACAGAAACTGGTTAGCTAGATTTAACCTTAATTTTTAAAGTGGTGGACTGGTAAGCCAGTGGAAGGCCTTGATCAGATGACCAAAAGCTCCAGTGTTGGGTCATGACATAACACAGCCCAGCATCAGGAAATACTTTTTTGTTTCCTGATGAATCTTACCTAACTTAACTGGTTAGCTAGATTTGATTCCTGGAGGTGGGAGGGGCAGTGCTTTTACTCTTAACCTCCTAACCGTGGCATACCCAGAAAAAAAATCTTGCATGTATGGCAAGATTTTTTTATTTATTATTTCAGAATGAACGAGTCCTTTTTTATGAATTGGATAAGACTAAAATGAGTGGAATGTGATAAAAACTTATGATTTTATATGTTGAAGCTGGAAAAAATTATAAATCGTCAATGTAAATGCACCGGGAGTATTTATGTTTTACAATTTATTTTGATGCCAAATTATAATTGTTTTTCAGTTTTTTAATTATATTTATTGTTTCAGACTATGTACACCATTTTCTTTAGGTATCAGATGTGCTTCAAAGTGTTCTAGCACTTCAAACATGGTGAAATGCTTAGCCTAATATTGTTCCACTTGAATTATAATAATATTACAATTGCTACATGTTGTAATACATATCCTCAGAACATGGAAATAAGTCATGTTTGGCTTTATTGGGTTATCCTGGGTTAAATATACTTGAAGATAAAGAAAGATTTATTTCTTTGTAAAGGTTACAATGTGTAATTACAATTGTGGTTTGCTAAGTACAAAGAAAGACCACTATCATGCTGTGGCATTTCGGGCAGACTAATCCTAGTACGCAGTAACTACTAAAAACTAGATAAGATAATAGTATACAGTAACTACTTAAAACTAGACAAGATAATAGTGGTTAACTGATTAAAATTTTTTATTTTTTTATATTATCACACTGGCCGATTCCCACCAAGGCAGGGTGGCCCGAAAAAGAAAAACTTTCACCATCATTCACTCCATCACTGTCTTGCCAGAAGGGTGCTTTACACTACAGTTTTTAAACTGCAACATTAACACCCCTCCTTCAGAGTGCAGGCACTGTACTTCCCATCTCCAGGACTCAAGTCCGGCCTGCCGGTTTCCCTGAACCCCTTCATAAATGTTACTTTGCTCACACTCCAACAGCACGTCAAGTATTAAAAACCATTTGTCTCCATTCACTCCTATCAAACACGCTCACGCATACCTGCTGGAAGTCCAAGCCCCTCGCACACAAAACCTCCTTTACCCCCTCTCTCCAACCTTTCCTAGGCCGACCCCTACCCCGCCTTCCTTCCACTACAGACTGATACACTCTTGAAGTCATTCTGTTTCGCTCCATTCTCTCTACATGTCCGAACCACCTCAACAACCCTTCCTCAGCCCTCTGGACAACAGTTTTGGTAATCCCGCACCTCCTCCTAACTTCCAAACTACGAATTCTCTGCATTATATTCACACCACACATTGCCCTCAGACATGACATCTCCACTGCCTCCAGCCTTCTCGCTGCAACATTCATCACCCATGCTTCACACCCATATAAGAGCGTTGGTAAAACTATACTCTCATACATTCCCCTCTTTGCCTCCAAGGACAAAGTTCTTTGTCTCCACAGACTCCTAAGTGCACCACTCACACTTTTTCCCTCATCAAATTTTATTTTATCTTAATACTAATGCGAGGTAGTCAAGGTGGAGATGCTTTGTGCTTTGTGGATGAATTCCACTCTTAGTATCATGAAACTAATAAATTTGGAATGGATGTCATCACACTGTTTGCTGGTAGGGAAGCTGGTAATAGAACAACAGTTCATGATTTCATTGTTTACCTATGCTTGTTAGGCATACTAGTATGTTGAACATAGTCATCACCTGTGTAGTTAACCATGATACACTGTGTGGAGCCTCCTGGCCTTAGATTTTTCTCAGGGGTATGAAGAGATTGTAGAAGACCCAAAGGGTTGTGCTGAGGTCAAAAATATTGGCAGGTGGCAGATTTGTAGGTACATAAAATTGTGCACACTAGTAATGCTGGACACATGTACATCACCTGCATTCTAGTACGATGGACACAGTTAAGAGGTTCAGGAGGAGTGAGACTGTTGCAGTTGGAGTGTAATCTGGATTGTGATGTCAACATAATTCTGGAAAGATGGTGTTTGAATGAATGACGATGAATGTAGTTGTACGGACATAAGTCAAAGTGTTGTTGCACTTCAAAGTTTATTATCTTTTGTAGAACAGTTTTTTATTTTGTCAATACAACATTTTTGTGTGAGCCTTTTTTTGTGACCTTACATTTTGTACCAGTAAAAGAATTGACTTTATGCTGTTAAATTACAATATTGTATTTTACATTTCTTTTCACTCTTTCTTGTAGTTAGTTGTGAGGTAATTTTAATGCAATGTTAATTCCTTAAGGGAGAGACCTAAATGCTGATGATCCAAAGAAGTGAACCTGTCCTCCTTTTCTCTGGATCAAGCCTTATTGCCTCCTATTCCCCGAAGCACTGTTGACCCCCTACAGGTTTAAC